CTTGTCATTGTTTAGAACAATAAGATAATAACTCGGGCTTTTCCGTCAGCAAAAAAAAAACAGAATTTGAAATATTATAAATATAAAGTTATCTTTAAAGTGTAAGCTACACAATAAATAAACAGTTATTTCATGCTACAACATGAAACAACGAATTTGTTATCGTACGGTCTATCTGTAGAAGTTTTCACAGTTTTCCCAGAATGCACGACCATGGCGGCCGAGCATGCGTATTCAAGGAATTTGGACTAACGTAGTTGCTAGCGCTAGAGAGCGCTAGCAATAATAAAAAGGGGCCAATTTGATTGTTCAAAACTATGAAAATTCTTTCTCTATCATGCGTTATACTGTACTTAAAAATTTCTTGTTTTCATCTGTTTTAATTAACTCATTTATTATTGAAAGTTTTCAACGTCATACCAGTTAGGTAAATACATATATGAATGATTTGAGTATAGCATAGACATCGAGACTGGGCGAAGGTCCAGGGGAGGGGATGGGGGCTAAGCCCCTCACTTATTTTGGAAAGATATATACATCGTATAAGCATTGAAAATGCAGCGTACCCTTTTTAGGTTTATTGCTCCCCTCCCCCGTTTGTTACCGACACCTATGTATTGAAAAGATAAAGATTTGGACTGAGGGATCTTATACCCGTCTTCTCCTCTTTTCGATGAGAGTAAATCAATTCTTTTTGAGGTTAGGGTTAGGCTTAGTTTTTTGAAAGATAAATAAGTAAAATAACAAATAAAATCTTTCCATGACTAAAATATGATTTTTTTTTCAAAGTGCGTTAAGTGTCTCCATGGTAAAATATATTGATGTAGAATCTTAACGCACTTTGAAATTTTTTTTCAAAGTGCGTTGAGTTGGTCCCAAATTTAACGCACTTAGAAAAATTTTTTCAAAGTGCGTTGATATTGTCCCAATTTTAACGCACTTTGAAAATTTTTTTCAAAGTGCGTAATTTTTTCAAAGTGCGTTGCCACAATGCTCTAGAGTAACAGATTAAGTCCTTTCATCGCGGGCTCGAATCCCACTGCGGGATGTGGAGACCGGTCAGGACTTCGGACGAGACCGTAAAAACTGAGGTCCTATGTCGCAGTAAATGATGGCACAAAAAGATCTCTCATCGTTGAATCATCTTCAGTGCAAATTTAAAACTTGCAGCCCTCCACCGTCAAGTAGTGGTGTCTCAATATGAATGAGAAATTCTTAGAAGGAATTTTAAACAATCAAACAATTTACAAAACAAACATTTTGAATTATATTTTACATGCGTTCTAAATGAAAATGAGGTACCTGGTGAGATGAAGGATTTACAGAAATTGAAACAAAAGTTGAAAATATTAATTTTGCACGAAGACACACATAATTCATAAGTTCAATGTAATTTTTTTTACTCTTCAGAAAACTCTAAAAATTTAGTGAGGCATTTGCCTCACTTGCCTCAATGGTAGTTACGGCCTTGGCTCAAAAGGGTCATCACTCTTCATGCAGATAAATTGATTTAGTCAGGCAAGCTTTTTAAAAAGCTGTTACTTGTAGCTCTACTAAATCAAATCAAAAGTTACGAGCAAGGTTTAAATTTTTGGAGACAAACAGCTAGACAGGTAGACAGACGGACGGACACGAGAAAAAAATATATACATGTACCCCCGAATCTTCAATTAAGGGGGCATAAAAAATGCAAAATAAAAAATATCTATTCAAGCTTTTCAAAACGATGCTAAGCTAGGAAAGTTACTCCTTGCATCATCATCAGACGGTAAAAAAAACATCGGGCTCGAGATTCAGAATATTTCGAGTGGAAAACGGTAATGAAACTGAATTTGATATTAAAAAGGTAAACATCTTATTTACAATTTTATAGTCAATCACAAAATATGATTTCAAATACAATAACTTTGTATTTGATGGTTATTATGACTATTATAAGTACAAGGTCTTGAGACACAATAATTTATGAATAAGCATGAAAAGATAACGTCACACTCGCAGAGTACTTTTTTTTAACATACTCAAATTTAAATTAGGCTACATAGCTGAGTTTGAACGAAAAAGATTTATTCAGAAGATGTTAATAATAAATATGGTTTTCTTGCTGTTTTATGCATAGGCGCACTCTCCATGTTATTCTGTAAATGACAAAAGATAAGTACATGTTTATATATGTATACCCCTCTATACTATTAAATCAACAGGCATTTTTGATTTTATCATGTTTATAGACATGATAGAAGGAGTTATAGATCTGTAACATATCTTAGTGATTACTATATGTACAGTACAATCCCTTCCTCCCTGTAAGTTATTTATCCATTTAGCAGGGACAGGTCTATATACTATATATATAGGTTCCTGCATTTACTTGTTTAACTTGGCATTCTCCTGTAGATTATCTCTCTCCACTCCAAGACTCTCCTTCATATTCACCTTTGCAGTCGGTCCCATCTGGCATCAGATTCAAAGTCTCCTTCTCAGGTTTTGACGAAGTCCCTCAATCCCTCTAGATTCATGTCTGAAGGGAAAATGTGGTGCCAAAGACCTTTTGCCAACAAGTGCTGGAGGGAAGGCTTTTTGGAGGATTAGTAAGGGATTCCTCCCCAGAACAAAACTCTCCATCTTTACTGGTCCTTCACTCTTTATTTAGGGCTGTATGGCAGCCCTTGTGGTTCATCCACAGCATCTGTGATGAGAGACTGGGCCCCTACTTCACCTTTTTCATCACCTCCTCTTTCTCTCTCTTAGCTACTTTCTGTGTCTTTGATATTGGTTTAATAATACATGGTGTGGCATGAGTCACACTGATTGGCAAGTCCTGGAACATTAAGAAAACTCCATTGTAAGTCAAAGCAGTTGAGGTGAAGGGCTGATCTGTAAATTCAACAAGAGCATTTCTCATGGGTTGTGTTTCAAGTAGTCTCAACCTTTGCCATTCTGGCATACTTCACCCCTTCAACCTGAGAGAAACAGCTCAGCAACTGTTCTGTTGTCATATTTTTGGCCAAGTTCCCCACATAGACAGTTTGTCTGATTTCATAGATTTTACCTGGGTCAGTTTTCCCTGGCAATGGAGGATACTGAGCAAGTCAGTATGCCGGGATCATGGGTACTGTAGTAATAATTTGTGTCAAGTTCTCATAATCTGACTGATAACATTGCTAGGCCAGGTCTCCCAGGAATCATGCCTGTGGATGCATGCAATAGCATTAGCTGAAAGTGCAAATCTGTAAAGCTGTGATTCCATCTGAAGTTTTATGGTCTTCCAATTTACTTTCCTTTGATATGTCTTTCAATGCACTTTCCTTCGATACATCTTTATCACTGCCTTCAATTTGATCCTATATTCTGTTCCAAATTCAATGAAGTTGAAATCAAAATATTGCCTGGCAACTCAGGTGAGTCCTCTCAGAGTCCAGTGAGTCTTTAGCTTTGAGGTCGTCAAACTAAGATTTTATGAAGTTTTTTAAAGATATTTAGACACAGATTTGAAGTTATTATTTTCTCTATATAAATATTACGACATATATTTTAATAGCATTTCACACAAAAATTAAAAATCTTATTTCATATTAAGGGCGAAACGATTACACGTGTAAACGGCAACGTTTCGATTATATGCTCTAAACATTTACAGATTGAGTAAACGTTTACACCAAGGTCATTATCAACGTCTATCAGATATAAAGTTTAACAGAAACAAATTTTTTATTTCATAATTTACAAAAGGTACACCGTCTTTGACCATTTGATAAGCAACAATCTATACCGTAAACAGATTGAACAAAAATGTCTAAGATCTAATGCAGTTTAACATATTTAATTCCGATTTCCGAGTTGCAAATACTAGTGATGTTTTATGACACTAAATATAAAACTTCATATATTTTGATTAAATAAATATAATACATTTTTCACAAGTCTTTGAAAATTGTTTCGATACAGTCAGCAGGTCTTGTTATACTTAATTCGAGATTAAGAGGTCCATCTTTACAATTCTTTTTCTACGTCCAGTATGTAGCCAAACAAACCAATGCAATTGGGTGACGATGTAGAAAGTGAATAAGTTCAATGCGCCTCAAATTCTTTCGTCAGAATGACCAACAATGAAATTGTAATAACAACTCATACTTATTTTAAAGTGAAAGAATTGGTCATTAAATTCGAGTTTCATGAGCAAGTAGCTATAAAAATCAAAAATAAAATATCTCCCGTTTAAACGGAACCGTTTCGTTTACTTCTATCCGTTTAAACGTTTACAAAATTCAGTAAACGTTTCAGCCTTATTTCATATAAAACATATTAAAATTTCAAATTTTTTGGCGGGTTTGATTGACACATCCTTGCTCTTTCACAAATTAATTCTATTCTTAATCCTTAGGAAAAGTGGCAATCTCATTGTGTATAAATGAAAAATATTAATACTATAATCCAGAAAATTCAGAGTAGATATGTTCGAAAGCAAAACAAACACACAATAAATTGTCAGTCCGTGCAGTTGTGGTAAGCAGACTGTGACGATTGAATGCACCCGGTGAATTGTAAACATCAACATCAGAACTCGTGCCCTGTTTACAAAAAGTGTGTAAAGTAACACAAGTGTGCTCTATTTGCTAAACTCTGTACGCAACTCTTAGTTTGGAATGACAATACTTGTGAAGGAGTTTTACTTCCTAACATTTCTACTCTGAATAAAATTATTTTTCGGGATAAAAAGTTTTAATATTTCTCATTAATACACAACAAGATTGCAACTTTTCCGAAGGATTAAGAATAAGGTTAAAATTTGTGAAAGTGCAAGGATGTTTCAATCAAACCTGCCAAAAAATTTGAAGTTTTAATAACCTTTAAATGAGATAAGATTTTTAATTAATTTTTGTGTGAAATGCTATTAAAATATGTAAGTCATAATATTATAGAGAAATTATTGACTTCAAATCTGTGTCCAAGTACCTTTAGTTCTCATCTCCATATGTTACAGTCTTTTTTCAATCCAGGTTTCTATTTTGCTGGATCAAAGTGTATAAAATTTTCTTGGTTGTTACTCAAGTTGATAGCAAACCTCTGTAAATAAATTTCTTGATTTTTTCTTCCATTCAAGTCACCAAAAAACTACAACTGAGTTCAAGTTCAGGCTTGAATCAATCTTGATCTGTTCAGATCCAGAAACCAATTGTATGATAGATGTATTTGACTAATTGATTCAGCCAGGTGGTTAAATTGAATTATCTTGAAGTAAGACAGCTAGGTATCATGTAAGTGGGCAGTGACAGGACATCATGATAAATAACAGAGATATCAGGAAAGTATTTACTCTAGGGGACACCTTTAATATTACTGGGAACTTTCAGAACCTTTATCAAAGATGTTCCCTCAAGCTACTTAAATGTTAACATTTGCAATATATATTTATCACCATATTTGTTAATATAAGATTGATATGTGTATTAATAGGATATGAGATTCTGGATTTAAACTGGATTTATGAGGAAGGCAACCAATATGGACAGAGGAACCTCCAAAACAGAGCCATTCAGGGTCCTAAAGGTAATGTTTTTGGTCTCAGATGTTTACATGCAGTAATTAATACAGATATAAATCAGAATAAGTATGATGGCCCAGATGAATTATTGAGTTAATTCACTGTGTGTCGCAGCTGGGACAGTGTTGAAAAATCAATTCAATGTAATCCAATTTAATCCATGTCTCGCTTTTTCCGAGTGCGTATCAAAACACTTTTATGAAGTATGTACTGATTATTAAGTGAATGTTAATAAATGCTTAAAATACTAGGTTCTTTAACATTAAGTACATGTAATTTAGAATTGATCAGACCATTTATAACTTTTGCATCCTGTATTTCATTATTAATTGGGTTCTTTGAACACGCTATTGTCAGCCTGTTTAAACAACCACCAGGTCACTTATGTAAAAATAAAGTATTTACTCAAATGCATTTTTGGGACATAGTAAACATATCAGAATAAAACATATATTTTTCTATAGGAATAAAAAAAAAGGTGTGGTTAAAATGATCGAAAGTCTAAATAATTTTTTAAAGATTTCTTTAGAAAAAAAAACTTGGTTGGTAAACCTTGAGAATTAATAAAAGATTGTTGAATTAAACTGTTGAATTAAGATTTTTTGTTATAAAATTGTTCAGCAAATGTCCATCAGAAGACACAACCTTGAGAAATCTTCCGACAGACTGAGGTCGGAGCTGGAGCACCTGCAGCTGATCAATGATCAACAAGGGGAGCGGATCTCAAGTTCTCTCCAGGCACTGAGGCAGGAGCAAGAAATGACAGATCAACTACTGAAATCAGACCAAAGATCAGGGGTGGATCATGGAATTTATTCACCAGGGAGAGGTGAGAGGAGTTAAGGGTATAAAGTGGGGGCCTTTGTAAGGTACTTGTTGTGGGTTATTAGAATAAATGTTTAATACTGTATAAACTACAAGGATAATTTCGCACCCGTTTTATTTCCACCCCTTTAACCCTCTTTATAGTTAGGCAAATTCAAAACAGGGTGAATTCAAAGAACACAGCATGATTTTTTTTTAACAGAACTATGACTGGGTGAATTTAAAACAGGGCAAAATTGTTTGCAAGTGCAAAAAGGCAAGAACTCAGGGTGAAAATAACCCTGTATATAGTAGCCAATCTATATTTGACTTCATGTAGTATTTTTTAGGACATTGGATGCAAATAGAAATAGACCTGTGTTTTTGATATCCTTTTATTATAATCATTAATATTCTTTGCTTTTATAATGAGATAAGCAAGTAGTACTGGTACATTTGTGGTATTTTTATATTTGTATTAATCTATGAGATTCAGGAAACCAAATCTTGAAAAAATCAAAAGGGTAATAATAGCCTCAAAGATGAAACTAATTTTGACTTACTAGTCTGAGAAAAAGTTCCTGGTTTTACATATTTTCATCTGTATGTTTAAGATAAAATAAACTTTTTCAAGAGAAACCTAGTGAATTACTGACTTTATTTCTGATTTAATGTCAGGGCACAGTGTACTACTATTTGGATGCTGTAATTTATTTAAATATGCTTGAGTAAAACAGTAAGTGGTTATAAATACATTTGTAAGAAAAACCCATACTGAAAAAATACTGCAACATTGTTTTTGATGTAGTAATTTTTAATATGAAAGAAGTAATTTTTCTTTCATTAGATTACAAGATTGTAGTCTACCAGTTTATAAGAACATATTTTAGATATATGCTAGGTGTTTATTCTACAAGATCAGATTTCCTTTAACTCAAGTTTAATTCATTGGATAATCTTTGTCACATTTGGTCCTCTTTACTTTAAATGAAGGTAATGACAAAGATAGGAAATGTTTAAATGCAATGGCAGTGATGTTTACGTGTTTCAGGGACCAGTGTTTTACTGTGCGACAGAGAGCCGAGCTGTAATCTTGACCCTCAGGCATAACATTAAATTAGACAGTCTGTGTTATGATTTCCCAGCTCTGATAACAGATGTGTTCTTTTACAAATATTTTCTTGTTTTAGGTGGATTTTAATTAAGATAATTGTTAATTCAGGGTAAGATTTAACACTTGTGTGTTTCATCTATTTATTTCATATAACTTAATACATTTGTATTTTAACTTGAATGTTCATGCAGTTCATTTGTACCTTTGTTTGTTTGTTTGTTTTTTCCTCTTCTTTTTTGCCTGCCGTTACTTTTCTTCAAAATGAAACTAACATTGCCATGAGTATTGTTGCCTTGTGTGTTTTTCGACTCATTTCATTTTCATTATGCACCGTGATATGTCATGATTTAGATGTAGATATGTAGTTAACAAGAGAGTGAAGAGACCATTATCCAGCATATTTGTCAAAATATTCTGTTGTATTAGAGGACAGACTCATTAAAGGGCAGCTGTCATATATTGCATTAACTACACTAATGATTTTCACTTTCATAAATTTTTATACATGTACGTGCTTCTGGAGCAGTATGCACAATATGAATTTTACAAAATACACCTTATATTTGACAAGTTTTTTGCATAGGTTAGTCAAATGTTTTGCTTGCATTTTAAACTATAAGAGTTCATTATGCTTTGATGAAGCATTAAAAATTACAATATATTCTTTGATCCCATTTGTAGGTTCTTACACATTATAAATTAAATATTATTGGTAGAAAGTGTGCTGGACAAGTTGTTAAATTTTAAGCTGCCGTAGTGCAACATGAACTGGCTAGATCTGTATAATTTTCAAACTTGATCAATCCATAAATAAAATGTCTCTGGTTATTGTTCTGTTGGTGAATTTCTGTAAATTATGCTTGAATGAAATATTCTTTAAGATGAACTTTGGTCATCAAATGATCTTAACTTTTAAAGGCCATAAATTTAAGATGCAAATATATACATGTGTACTAGTAATTAAATTTATATCTTGTTTTTATGAAATAATTTACAGGTAAAATTTCCACTCCAATCTTAATGTGAATTTTAAAAATGAAATAATAATGGGTACATTGTTATAAATCAAAGTGTCCCCTAGGGCAGGTAAAGGTTTTTTTGTGTTAGAGAAAATTTTATATGTAAATAAACAAAATGTTTCATAAATGGATGTTACTACAAAATCATTGCTCCAAATTCATTGGCATCTCCCATTCGATTCTCACTGCATAAAATTCTGCAGATCACCTATTATGTGTTGAACTATTTTGTGTGCCTATTTCCATCAAAAAATTACTAACCCCCTCTTTTCTGATTTGTCCAGTCTTTTGAATTAATGGAATAACTGATGTAACAATATTCTCTTCCTTTTCTTATTCATAAATATTTCAGATTTAATTTTTGATTTTTTATATTTCTAATCTCTGAAATAAATGGCATATGATATGCATGTTGCTTTCTTGAGTTTCATATAAACATTGTGCGTTCTTTGTTTGAAGGCCGAGCTAACATGTCATCCCGACCACTTCAGAGGGAGCCCTCCATTCTCAGACAGGTGAGAATTAAAACTTACCTGTACAGTTTATTTAAATTGGTATACAAAATCAAATGTTCAATTTAGATTATAACCAAGTTACCTTGTTTTTTTTTTAACAATGATTGTTTGTTATATTCTTTTTTATTAATCACCAATGCATGTACATATACTGCTGTATTTTGATCCAGTTTATGGAATTGGTTACATTTGTAATTAATTATAATTTTTAATTAGTTGAAGACTTGGACTACCTCAGATATTATCCAGTGGTTGGAACAGAAACATTTAAACAAGTTCATCTTCCTCTTTCAAAGTAAGAATCAGTTCAAAACCTAACAACTGACAGTATACATTATGCAAGTGTATCAACTACAAAGATTTATTCACATTATGTGCAGAAGATACAGCTTCTTTATAATGTGTGGGTTGATTTCTTTTTCCTAAGGACACACGCACTGTGTTTTTTTTTATTTCCAGGGCACCATGTAACTGGAGCAGACTTGGCCAACCTTGATCTTGCTTTTCTAGGTATGTACATGTAAACAGTTTGTCATGTAATAGACTAATAGTGAAATCTTACAAGACACTAAAAATACTCTGTATTTTTGTAAAAATTATATATTTGAGTAAGAGCTGAAATTATTAGGTGTATTAATCATTTCACTTTCAACATAAAAGGTAGACATAAATTCAAGGAAAAATAGGCTGTTTTGTAATGTCTAAAAATTTTCTTATGTTTGAATAAAAAGAGAGAAAGACAAATGTATTCCAAATTTTACAAATTAGCTTTTATATTATTCATAAAACACCTTTTAAAAAAGGTCAAAATGATTTTATACACAGTTGTAGTTGACTTGAAACAAGGCAGTTTTGTGTTATATTTCTGTTATATTTCTGTAATAGAAAAGTACGAGCACATCAGTGTATCAGACAGAGAGGAGCTTCTGTCCCACGTGTATGAACTGTTACGCCTGGAGCAGTTAGACGAGGAGGACCCGGCCAGGATCTCCACACCCACTGAGAAAGAGAAGTACCGATTGGCCAAACAGATCGCTAACGATAACACATTCCACAGGTCACAGAGTGCTCCTGTCACCTTTATCTCCTCCCAGAGCTCCTCATCCTCATCCTGTTCCTCGGTGTCCTCAAATGCCTCCTCACCCACCCCCAAACAGAGGAAGAAGTCAGCCTCCTCAGACACACCAAGTGTCCTCAGTCACATCAAAACCAAAATAGCTACCTCAACTAAAGGCACAGACAACAGGTAAATCTAGAGACATTCTATGGAAGTTTTTAACAAAAGACTTGAGTAAATGACAGTCAATAAAGCTAAACTTGTTGTTTGAAGTCTCAAGCACCTTGTCTTTGCATATTTATCCTGAATATCTTGAAATCTCTTCTATGTTGAAGTATTTACCTTAAAAAAATGCAACAGGGTTTTATTTGTGAGCTCACTCACAGTTCCTGTAGTTGTTTACTGACATATAAATATATTACTGAAATGTACTTTCATTTCAGACAACAAAGGGAAGTACCAAAAGGATTTTTTGAGAAGAAAAAAATCAAGGTATGAATATTTTAAGCCACTTATCCCTGGCCATATATTTATAATTTTTAAAGACTTTGTTTAACAATGCATACATATTGTACCTTTGCTGAATGCCTTAGTATTGGAAAGAAGTGCACAAATGTAAGATATAGGTTCAGATCTAAAATTACTTTTGTGAAAAAATATGAAGATGAAGAACAGTGATTAATCAATCTCAAAAACTTTTCTACAGAAAACAGATACTGTATACAGGAAAATTTTCACTCCTGTTTTATTTTTGCTCTTGTCACAAGTGGGTGAATTTAAATCGGGATGAATTCAAAGAACACAGTAAAAATTCTTAAACAGAAATGTTAATACTTGGCGAATTTAAAACAGGGCAACATTGTTAGCAAGTATAAAAGGGGGAAAATAACACGGGCAAAAATAACCCTGTATACAGTATGAATAAACATTGATCCTGTATTGACCAGTGAAGGGATGTTTGAGAAGTATATATACCGTAAATCTTGAAATTTTTACTGTAGATAAATTTTTAGCAAATTTGCGCGTGCATTTCATTCGCAAAAATATTTTTCTTAAAAATAAATCAACATGTGAGGAATTTTTTCTGAGGACTCGTGTTTTTTTTTAGCACTGGTCATTTTTAAAAAAAAACCTGTTTACTCTAGTCTAGCTACTATACAACTACAAGTTAATTACCCGTGCGTGTAAATTGCCCTCATTATATGCAATATCGTCCGATGATTTGACAAGCACTGAGGCAGTATGCCCCTTTTTAATTTTTTTCATCAATTAATTTGCCAATAAACATGATAAAGAGAGAACTGTCATTTTATCTAACCGTGTTATCAACACGGGCGATAACTCAAACTCAGTGCATTTACTAGAAAGTTCCAAATGTAAACGCGGCGTGTAAATTTTAGGTGAGAAAAAAAGAAACGTTGAGAAAATAAGTTATATTTTTTCTTCATTTGGATTATACTTTAGGTCAAAAGGCATACACGACTTCTAAAATGTTTGTTATAATTGATTTAAAAATTATTTTCAGTGCAAATCCTTTTGCATTTTTATCAAAATTGTTTCGGACCGATTTTGCAATATCTTGCCACGTTGTGAATATATTGGTGGTATTCTAACTGGGCATATTATTTGGATCATAACCTGATCTGAAAATCTTCAGTGATTTTTATTTTTAGCACCAGTGACAATTCGCAAAAATTTGAAGCGTAAAAATTAATCAACAGCTTTTTGACCCAAATTCGCAAAAATAAATCGACATAAAAATTTCCAGATTTACGGTAAAGTCAAGTTCAAATTTAAGTTAGAAAATAATATTCATATTCTTTGTCTTAATTGCTCTTCATTTAATTTACAAGAAATCAGCAACCAGTTCTTGGTATGAAGCTTTAGAAGGAAGTGTGAATGCCTGTGTGTCCTGCTACACATTACAGAAGAAGGGGGGTACTTTTGGTATTACCCTAGAACCCAGTCCAGATGGCTGGTGGGTTATCAGCAACGTCAGTCCCAATCTACAGACAGGTATCCACACTGGAGACAGGTATACACAACTCTTAGGGAGCAATTCTTATATTGGAATACCATTATGAATATCATCTATGTTTATTGTAAACATATCGATTTCTCATAAATTTTGAATTGTTTAAATTCTTTTTTTATTATCCATGAGAATACAATGTACAGTAACTTTATGGAAAATGAAGGAAGCAGAATGCTGAATTGTAAAGAAAAAATAGAACCTCTTTTTACAAATAATTTGTAGCTTTTGCATTACACACAATATAAAACGGAAAATTTCTTTATGCAATAAATACAGTTGTAACTATTCTGTTATTACTGTTATTGAAAGTGAAATGTTTTATTTGCAGAATATTGGAGATAAATGGATGTAGTTGCTTTTCCCTCAAATCATCAATGGTAGCTGATATACTGAAAACTAACAATGTTATACAGATAGTCACATGTAAACCAACAGAACTCAGAAGGTGAGAGGTTTCTTTCTAGTGACTGTATAATATATATCCTTTAATAAATAATGTCAACCACCTCACAGTTAGGCTTTCTCATTATAGGAACAGCCTACACGAGGGCCCTTCATTGGGGAATTCCTCGGATATCAAATGGCAGAAATTCCGTACTTTTTTGACTGATCTTAGAGACCAGGATGTTAGTGTTGATCAGATGTTGAAAGACGTTCCTAAAGTTGAACTCCAAAAATATAAAGAACGAGAAACATTAAAGGTAAGGCTGTGGTTTTGTAATAAAATTTTAATCAAGAAAATAGTTTGAATGGCTGAAAATTGTTCAGTATTTCTGTATTGTGTAAATGCAAGGCAACCACTTTTAGGCAGCCATACATGTATATATGTTACTCAACAATGGGTGCTACACATTAAACTGGCAAGTAGGGCATAAAGTAATGTGATTCTTTTCTCATGCACAGAACTTGCTAATTTTCTCTATTTCACTCAAGCATTTCAACCAAAAGAATAACCATACTTTATCAATGTAAAAACACTTCATACTTCAAATATGGAGATAAAAATTCCTTAATATAAGATAATGAAGTAATTGTACAGTAAGTAAAAATAATTTTTACTAACGGTTTTATTTGGTCCCATAATTTTTTTTAAAAAAATCAATACTTTTTCAAGTGGACAATGATTAAGTATCAATTTGACCTACATGTATATTGACAAATGTACAATGTATCTACACATACAAAGAGGACTAAACACTTCAGATTTTTTTCACTTAGACTTATCAACATTTTCTTGAACAGTGTTTAACTTTTGACTCAAAAGTTTCTTCTGTGCTTTGCTATATCTGCTATTAATTAATTTTTAAAGTTTTCTTAATGATTTTTTGATGATAACATGGTAAGTTTTCTTTTAATTCAATTATTCGTTATGTTTGGCTTTTTGGTGTATTTAATCATTTATACCTGAATTTGCTGTTTTGTTTAGATGGAAGAGAGAGAAAGCTGAGGTCAAGGCAGTGGTATGTACAATGTGTCCGTTACATTCATTGAAAAAGGATGAACAGAAATTAAGAATTAAAATAAGATTGTTGTCAATTATCATGTACAGATTATTGTGTCACAATACTGTACGTTATGTTTCTATAGTTAATAACAGATTAAACCACTATACGATCAAGACGCATTTCTATTCTTTCCACAACAATTTTATAAATAAACTAGCGTACGAAAACGGACGTCTACATAACGAGGTTCGGGAATTAAAAGATCAAGTTGTTAATATCAAAACCTACAGCTCTGAATTGAGGAAAGGCAAATAAGTGATCTGTCCATGGAGAGAGAGAACACACGAGCAGTGAGGTCACAGGTCAACATGGCAGGTCAAAATGCCAATCTACGCAGTGGAGAAATCTAACACAGAACTACGTCACAAACACTTGGAGGAACTCATACAGGGGAGAGACGGATTCGTTACAGCTGCCACTTTACGGACCAAAAATGGACTTACCAACAGACCAATTGTGAAACTATATCCAATCGAAGTGAATGACAACTTAAAATACTATCTTCTGAAAAAGGATCCGTGAATGGACAGTGAATTATTAATTTCCATGAATTAATTTGAATAAGATTGTTTTTAAAAATGTTTTTTTAAAGAAATGCTTTGGGATGTTTTTAAAAATGTTTTTTTAAAGAAATGCTTGGGGATGGGATCACCATTTTCACCATATTTTTATGTAAATATAAACTTTAGTATCTAAACATTTATGGGACTCTCAGAAAATGATCAGGATGTTGATACTGAAGTTGAGACTAGAAGTCCAAGATTTCATGACGTGTAATGTGTAATTCTCCTTTTTATATGCCTGTCTTATGATAAGTCATACTGTTGTATGTCATTCCTATTTATCTTTCTGTCTGTCCATCTGTTTGCCTGTTAGCTTTTTTGTGTTCAGCTCATAACATAAATATTAGATGTAGAATGATCAAACTTTGTCAGCTGATACATCCTGGGATATGTTGTTCATTAAAAGACAGCAAAAGATGTAGGTTGTTGTGACCTTTAATAAAAACAGATATGGTCAAATATTAAAAAAAAATCTTCTCTGGCTCAAAATTGGAAGCCCATAAGATTTGGAATCATCAAGCTTGGCCAATTTATACATCCTAGTCAGATATTTGTGTCTTATCCTACATAAAGGTCACTGCGACATTTAATTTAGGTGAAAATTAGGAAAAAATGTGTTTTTACATTACACAATCCCAACAAAGGTAAGAATATTACAGTAATATTTTAAAATATTATATCAAGAAAAATACAGGTTTTCCCAGAAATTTACTACACAGTAATATAAAACAAATGTATCATTGCTTTTCAATAACAAAAGAAATTCCACTCATCCCATGGTTATTATTACAGTGTATCAAGCAATGCTGTTTTCAAGGAGTATTTTGATAAATGACAAATTGTGGTCTGATAAATTAGATTTAAATTATAGAGTTTAGTGTAAGAAGATTTCCAGAAAAACATCTTTAATCAAGCAGGTGCTATCTATATTTCTGTGGAATTAGGCAGAGGAATCTGGACCTTTAATTGTAATTCAAAGCATCTATCAAATGCATAATATTAATTTTAAAAACAGCAAGTCCATTGATTTTATAAATTCATGCTAATGAATTTTGTTATATTTTGAAAATTTTGTTTTTGTTCTCATTTTCAGAGAGAAGTATTAAACAGGGGGAGACAGAATATTATAGAATTACCATGAAAAGTTTGAATATGGAAGAAGCAAGCAAGGTAGGTTAGAGAAGGAAAATAAAGACAGAAAAACTATCATTAAAACTCGGTTATAACGAAGTCGTAGGGACCAATGAAATCACTTCACTATATCCGTAATTCGTTATATCTGTATAAAATTCGTAAAATTTATATAGCTGGGGATCCAAGATAACTTATAAATAAATTCGCAATATCTGTGTTTGTACTAAATGAGTTTTACTGTACTTGCATACTTGTAATCACCAAGGTATATCTATATCTTGTGCTGTTGATTTTTGACATAAAAGGATTTTTGTGACAACCAACAGTTGTAATATATTTGATAAGAAAAAGATTAATCCATTCCTTGGTCTCCTTTTGTTCAGCCATCAGAAGAGAATTACTGGTGTGTGTGTATACCCAGTGTTAGAGTAAGAGTTCAAATTGTACAGCTACTTTAGGAGATTTGGCCAAGTTACTTTTTTTTCAGCACATCTTAGCATTTAGAACACTTTGATTTTATTCATTATCTCTGCTAGCCAAGTGTTTCTGGTCCCCTTTACTTTGCATAAGTCCTTTGATAAAAAATCAAAGTCCATAATTTTTTAAAAGAGATTATTAAACTTAATCGATAGCAATTGACCAGTCAGCAAGTTTGAAGCAAGTAGCACAGCAACACAGTAAATAACAAAATTTCAGCTAGAATGTTTCTTGACTACGTTTCAGATAATGAAAAAGCTCATAAAACATGATTTGTAAGAAAATGGTATCATCATTCTCTAAGCAGTGATTTTGAACAGAGATGTATAATAGAAGATCTATTATTATGTCCCTGTTTTTAAGTGCCAATTTTATAAACAGAAACATAAACTCAGATACCTTTAATTGAAGATATCTTTTATCATTTGAAGTTTTGAATTTGTATGATGTGTTCAACAATTTCAAAGATCTTTGGAGAGAGCAACTCTTCAATTAAAGATGCCTTCAATTTAAAATTGATGTGCATGTTCATTCCCATTTGGAGAGCAGCAATTGACAAATTTTAATCATCACTTTGATATTCTCTGATAAGCGACAAAAACACTTTTATTCATTAAATAAATTAGAGTTTTTCAATTATGACAATGTCTTTCTTTAAGCAGCATTTTAATAAAATCTGTAGTAACATGATTCACATCATGATTCACAATTTGGACTTTTAAATGACATGATGGGAATATGGATTGGATCAAAAACACTAGGCCAGTGAAGATGTTTTATTGTTCAAAAATCAATATGCTTATGTGATGGTTTTAAATTTGTACTAAAAAGGAATTTAAATTGGGTAGTGTAGTTTGAGTAGTGATGCTTTAATGTAGATTGAGACATCTTTATGTTTATGATTATCTAGTTTATTTTTAGCTCTACTGGTCAGAGACCAGAAGAGCTTATGCGATAGTAATGCGTCCGGCGTCCGTCCGTCTGTCTGTCTGTAAACAATTTTTCAAAATGCTACTCCTCCTACAGATTTGGTCTGATTTCAATATAACTTGGCACACAAGTAGACTACACTAAGATACATAATTCTGTGCATCGGTTTTTGATTTTGATGAACGATGTTGCCATGGTTACTAAAAATAGAAATTTCTTTGAAATTCTTTCAAAATGCTCCTTCTCCTACAGTTTTGGTCTGATTTCAATATAACTTGGCACACAAGTAGACTACACTAAGATACATAATTCTGTGCATCGGTTTTTGATTTCGATGAACGGTGTTGCCGTGGTTACTAAAAATAGAAATTTCTTTTAAATTCTTTCAAATTGCTACTTCTTCTACAGTTTTGGCCTGATTTCAATATAACTTGGCACACAAGTAGACTACACTAAGGTACATTATTCTAGACTACACTAAGGTACATTATTCTCTGCATCGGTTTTTGCTTTGATGAGTGGCAAGGATCATTTTTCTATTTATTGCTGTTTTTAAAGTTTCAAGTCACAACTGCTACTTTTCTCTTTCTTTGTTTTAAGTATAAACCAGTAGAGCTACAGTCTCGACAGAGACTTCTGGTTTGAATGGGAGATCCCTTATACATAAATGTTTTCTTAAATCTTTAATTACATTTGCAAATATTTGTATATGTAAATCTTGAATGAGTTGAATATTCAGATGTTTACACCAACATAATATGTAAAAGATGCTTAGACTGACATCTAATTTTAAACAGATAAACAGAAGCTGAATCTACAGCAGTGGTGTATTCTGTATTGTATTTTTAAGAGCAGATTATGGTGACTCTTTTGTTCTATTTATAGGAGAATATCACAAGCACCTGACCTTACTTATTTTTTTTTTCAATAAAAAGAAATTATACATCCTACCTAATAATACATTAGGTAGAGTGTATTTTTTCTTATTAAAAGTAAAATAAGTAACATCAGATGCCTGTGGAGCAGATTTAGATTTTTTTATTCTTTAATTTTATAGGAGCAGATTATGATTTTTTGTTCTATTTATAGGAGCAGATTATGATTTTTGTTCTTTTTATAGAAGTAGATTATAATTTTGTTCTATTTATAGGAGCAGATTATGATGACGCTGAAGGACATAGTGATGGAAGCCAGCAGACAGAAGTTTTATCTGGATAGACTCATCTCCTTAGTGATAGAGGAGTCACCATGGTTACTGGACCAGGTTGATGCCAACTTTGATGAAATGTCCATGGACAATAAAGTAGAGGAATTCTGCTAGATTTTCAGAATGATTGTCAGTTATGATCAGTTAATTTGGACCATTGAATAGATACATATAGGAATTGTAAGTTAGTTATCTGTTGCATTGAGACTTTTCCATATTTATTTAGTAGTCTTATGAATGTCACAAGAGCAATTCATACCAGATTCTTTTGAAACCTGGTATCAGTTGTTAGTTTATTTATGATGGTAGTTCATAGCTGCAGAATTGTGATTGAGAAAATTCCAACATTTAAACCAGACAGCTACAGATCCAAGCAATGTTAACACTTTCGATTTACAGTGGTGCTTTTTTGTCACTTTGAGTATAATTTCTTGAAATAGATGCATTTCCTCAATTGAACAATGTATCCATTAAATAAGCATATATTTTACTTCTATTTATTCCAGCAAGACTTCAAAATGGATGTCAGAATGTGAATTTGTAAAGCTGAAATTCAAATAGAA